AGGAAAGGAAAGGAAAGGAAAGGAAAGGAAAGGAAAGGAAAGGAAAGGAAAGGAAAGGAAAGGAAAGGAAAGGAAAGGAAAGGAAAGGAAAGGAAAGGAAAGGAATAGGGGGATAAATGGCAATAGAAGCAACCTCCCTGAGAGAGCTCCTTATAGGAGATATTTCCTCATTGCCATCTTTCCTCCTCAAACACCAACTAAATCCCCAGTTATCCCTAGATACATTAAAGGCTACAAGAAGTATGTCAGACTTATTCCAATTAATTCTGATAATTTATCAAACTATTGTACTGTATCAATACATTTTGGTAGAGGACATTCATAATTATCAATAAAACATATATCATCAGGATATAACAATTTCAGTTTGATACCAGCCACTTCTGTGGCCAGAATGCCTGATTGCCTATTGTACAAAATGTAAGACATGAAAGGCATCCTTGATGTTCCACAAAACATCTTGATTGGTGAAGTAATTCCATCTACAATAATCAACACATAACACATTGTAATCCAAGTAATAGGGAAAAAAAATTGGTATCTGGCCAAAACTTGTTCTAAAATTTGAACTACATCAACTAGCAGCCTTTTCCACACTCAGCAAAACCACCACTGTCAATTCCAGTTTTCTGAATGGATAACTACAGTATCTATTTGTAATATAATTTTATGGATGGCTTTGTTCTGTGTTATAAAAACAAGTGGCACGGGATGGACAATTAAAGGTAGTATCAACTACAATGCATGAACCAGGAACTTTGTCAAAATGTTAGTATCAACATTTAACAAAGAAATCAGATAACAGCTTACACAACCAGCTGAACTTTTACCAGGGTTCAAACTCAGAGTTATATCATGGTAATTAAAGGATGTTGCAAAAAAAAAAATTATCCAAAAAAGCATCCCTAGAAACCTCCAGACATAAACAGGTAAAAAAAAAAAATCATTATGCCACTCAGGATAGTCATCAAGATTGGGAGCTGTTCCTCCTTTCATTGATTTAATAGTACCTACCATTTCCTGAATAAATAAAGATGCAACTAAATAAATGGGTTAGCCATAAGTAATGTTTGGAAGAGTTATATTTTTTTTTAAATAATTTCTTCCTCAGTAACTTTGACTATTATAAAGTAAAAAAAAAAAGTTATTTATTGAATCAGAGCTGTTACATACTTTGCTGTAAGCATTCTTAATAACAGAAATATTAATTTGTTATTGCTGTTTCAGATAAGAGGCCAGTACTTTACCAGGCCTTTCCTCTTTCTTTAGTACAATTAATGAATATTCTGTATCAAGTGCATAAAGGAAATTAAGTTCCAATTTAGCAGACAAAAAAGTAATTCTGGTGTAGGTCGTCTTGCATATTAACTTTATTTTCCAAATGTTGTTTAAACTCTTAATTTTTTTTCCATGAAGCACATGCGGTTAGACTACCTTTAAGTTCATGTTGTTTATTTTTTAAAAAATTGTTTGTTTTATACAAGTCAATCTTTTGATAGTGATGTAGTCAAACATCTTTTTTAAAAAAGAGTACTTTTTCTTATAATAATAGATAGTGTTAGTGGAGCATGATTGCCTAGTACAATAGGACATATTTCATTTATTTATCTAAATAAGGATCAGGATACTAAAAATAAATCAGGAACAAATCTGTTGTGCATTTTTAAAAGTGTATTCTTACTGTGAAGCAATTAAAAGTCACCCTATAACTACCAAAGTAAACCCCAACACATATGCTTGTAGGACTCTACAAGAGATAAATTTAGCTGGAAAAATGTAACAGTCTAACACAGGATTTAATACTTGATTTCTAGGCATAATTATCTGATTCTCAATTAAACTAAAAAGATACTCAAATCACCTATGTAAAACATCCATATGGTGCTTAGTAGGGCCAAGTCATTACTATAATGACCGCAATACAGTTATTAAAGTATTTACTTTCCAATATTTAAAAAAGCCCTTTCACCCTTACAGGAAAAGGTGATCCTATCAGGAGCTCCTATTCCCACCAAAATCACTCCCAGGGTCACTGAAGCTGAGCCCTACCAGGTCAAGCTGGTAAATTATAATGGCAAACTTTTTTTTTTTTTTAAGAGTCATCTGGAAAGATTCATAGCCATCTTACAGAGGTAGAAAACACATTCTAATTAATTTGACAGTAAAAGTTTAAACCACTTAAAGTGGAAGGCAAGGGAGAAACATTTTTAGCAGAATTATGTGGTCCTTTATAAATCCAAGAAATCAATATAAACCTGAGATCAATGATCCCATTTGTTGCTAAGCGACAAATATGAGTGAGGGGAGCATTTCTTAGAAATGGCAATAATCGAAGACACTACTCATCTTTTTATCTCCTTTTGCTCTCCTTTGTTGTTATGGTTGCTGTTGCCAACCCTGGCAACAGCAACAGCAAGATGAGAAATGTTGTTATAGGTAGGCTTTGAAACTACCATTTCTTTAGCATAACATGTATTTCCAAGCCATAGAGGGGGAAGATTGCTGTGGTTTATGGTCCCCACCATAATTTTTTGTCTCTTCTATCTTTTGAGTATGGCACCCATTTTCCTCCACAGCCCCACAGAACATTATTTTCTTGAATGGAAATGTAATTGAAGGAGAAACATAACATTCCTGCTATTTGTGCAAATAGTTCCATATATAAAAGGTTTAAAAACTTTTGTTGAATATTCATGCCTACATGTAATGTGGAAAATTAATTTGGAAACCAACAGAAGAACCTGTTCATCAGTGAAAAGTTTTTAAAACATGTTGCTAAATGCTACTTTTTAATTAACATTATGAAATTGTGGTGTTATAGAAATATATTTTAATAATCTTAAGATAATTATAATGCTGTGTCATTCCATAAACAATAGAGTGAAAAATAACAGTGGTACTAATTTAAAAAAATGAATGGGATAAAAAAAATCCTGCAAGGATTCACAGAATGTGCACTGAGCTCTTACAGATTTACTTGCCTGACTGACGACAGCTCATGCTGCCACCACCCTTCCAATTATGCCAACAGATAAATTTTTTATAATCTATCAAAAAAGCAAAAATAAACAAAGAAAAACCCAGAACTACAGGGAAAATAAATTATTGGATGAGAATATAGTTTAGATCAGTGTTTCTCAACCTTGGCAACTTGAAGATGTGTAGACTTCAACTCCCAGAATTCCCCAG